TAAGCTGGTCCTTTGCTGGTTTAAACGGGTCCTTTGCTGGTTTTAGCTGTCCTTTGCTGGTGTATGCTGGTCCTTTGCTGGTTTAAACTGATCCTTTGCTGGTTTATGCTGGTCATGTGCTGGCAAAGGACCAGCATACACCAGCAAAGGACCAGCTTAAACCAGCAAAGGAGCAGTTTAATCCAGCAAAGGACCAGCTTAAACCAGCAAAGGAGCAGTTTAATCCAGCAAAGGACCAGCTTAAACCAGCAAAGGAGCAGTTTAATCCAGCAAAGGACCAGCTTAAACCAGCAAAGGAGCAGTTTAATCCAGCAAAGGACCAGCTTAAACCAGCATCCCAGCCTCAAAACATACCTAACCAGCATATGCTGTTTTTTTCAACAGGGAATGCGAATAGCTTTCTGGAAAAGCAGTGTCAGGTTTTTCCTGTTGTATTATTACAATGATTTCTAAATTCTGGGGCCTCACGACTGAACACGCAGTTGGCACGAATGACAGCATTGTCATGCTTTAATCCATTTAAAAGATTTTAAACATGTATTATTATTAATTATATTGTTATTACTACTACTACAATATTATAGATTTTAGTCCTTTTGCAATTTCCTTTGTTTCCTCTATCGTTTTAAAGAATTCATTTTCATTATTTATTTTTCATTATCATTTTTATTATTGTTATTAAAATAATTTATTGAGAAATTTGCAACATCTATAAATAATTAAAAGTGTGTACAGAACATATATTCAGTTTTATAAATTACACTTTTAAGTGAAATGTTTACTTTTTGTAAGCTGTTGAAACCATGCATGAGACACCAGATCTTCTGCTGCTTTTTTTTCAGGTTTCTTTTTATTATGGATTTGCCCTTGCATTTAAATATCTCCTTCAAAACAGTAGTGATGTTAAAGCAAGGTATGTTCTTTAACACTTATCAAACACTGCTTTTCATCAGGAGCCGGTAGTCTGATTATTTCTCTCAATGCTAACTTTCTCTCTTCTTCTAGAAAAAGGCTGAAAGCTATGGAATCTTTGATTGGATTGATCCAGAACTTCCCATACCCACAGCATGAGAAACTTCAAGAGGACATGGAAAGGGCGCGTGCCAAGTTTAGACAGGTAATGTCATCAAACATGCCCCATCATCTCTTTGTTAGAATGCAAGCTGACTGTTTCTAATTGGTTATTTTAACTGTTAATTATCTAAATAATATCTGCCTAACATATTTCATCTCTACAGGTGTGCTCTTTGCTGAACGTGGCAACAGACTTTAAAGAATATGTGAGTGGATCAACGGGAATGTCCTTCTAAGACGACAGGAGCCTTACAGCAGCCATGGTGATGATCTGCAGACAGACAGTACTGATGAGGGGGTTTGTGGTGCTCACGTGCAATGTGTACACGAGTGGACTGTTATCACTCTCACTGGACTTGTAATTCAGAATTCTGGAACAGTTCTTCAAGCTGAATTCTAGAAAACAGAGTGGAAGCGTTTGAATTGTATTCTTAGGCGTTTGAGAGTTTTAAAGTGAGAAATAGCAGCAGTAATACGAGTTCATTTAATATACAAGACAAACCAAAGTCAGCGTCTTCATAAGAATATTCCATCTCCTAAGATGGTTTTTAATATTTTTTATGGACAAAGCTGTTTAAAAAGAAGACGAGAAACCCCGTCTTGTGGTGAAACTGGGAGAATGGTTCTTGCAGTTAGGTGGCACCGCCTGCTGGCAAACTGCAGGATTGTTACTTATGACATTAGAATCAATTAAAATCAGAAATGAAATGGTTATAAGCAGCACAGACAGTTTTGCAAGAAATGTTTTACAATTTTGACTGTAGAATGCTTTACTGGTGAGTCTACATCTACATTAAAAGACATTTCAGAATAAAGTAAATGATGAACGTGCATTATGATGATGTGTGGCGGTCTAAATTATGATCCATATAATTATGTTATTATTAATAGTAATAATAATAACAATGACTTTTTCAAATACTTTTTATTATTATTAATAATACTTATTTTTGTTGATGCTTTTTCCTTTGTCCTTTATTAGTTCAAGATGTCATAAATCCTTTAGATACAGTATATTGTAATAGAGATCTATTTTTAAAGATTACATAATCCAGAGCTGGTGGATTAGATTGATTTGACATTACACATCTGCCGTTTGCAGAAATCCCATTTACCTTTAGTTAGTCTTAGTTAACCAGCCCTAAATCCTAAGAAATTCCTTTGCTGGGTTCCTCAGTGCTATTTCACGTTTGGTCAGCAGAGTCTCCTGGCAGATAGTTTTCCTCCCCTCTCCTGGGTCCAGAATGGGGACAGTTGCTGTGGGTGCACCAATGATGTAGTGGGGCCCGTGCGAGAGGCCAGGGAGCTGCGCGATGCACTCTGGTTTTGTTCTGCTCCCCTCACACTTTAAGTCTGAGGTGCAGATCAGAATTCAGGCAGACAGGAGTTGGCAGGATATAAGAGGGTGTTTCTAGAGATGGCAGCTGGTCTACGCTGTGGGCAGCAGCAGGTAAACACTAGGCCTGTTGGCGGCACCTTCTGAGCCCTGACAGATAAAACCCTGCTCTTCCCTGAAGACCTCCAGTCAGCTGCTACATCGGTCATTTTGTGCTGGTGGAATCATACAAGGTTTGGTTTAGGCATTAATTGGAAGCCAGAACTACATATATGTGACCCTGGCCCACAAAACCAGTCTTAAGTCGCTGGGGTATATTTGTAGCAATAGCCAAAAATACATTGTATGGGTCAAAATGATTGATTTTTCTATTATGCCAAACATCATTAGGATATTAAGTAAAGATCATGTTCCATGAAGATATTTTGTACATTTCCTACTGTAAATATATTAAAACATTAAAACATTAATTTTTGATTAGTAATATGCATTGTTAAGAACTTCATTTGGACAAATTTAAAGGCGATTTTCTCAATATTTAGATTTTTTTGCACCCTCAGATTCCAGATTTTCAAATAGTTGTATCTCGGCCAAAGCCACATATTGTCCTATCCCAACAAACCATACATCAATGGAAAGCTTATTTATTCAGTTTTTAGATGATGTATAAATCATAATTTCGAAAAAATTTACCCTTATGACTGGTTTTGTGGTCCAGGGTCACATATTATAAAGCAGTGGACAATGAATATCACTGCATTAGAAAATAACTAGAAATGAGTTAAAGATAAAGTCAAACCAAGTGCCATTTGCAAACAAATGATGCTAGAGCTTTTCTCTGAACTGACTTTCACGAAGCTGAAATGAGTACTTTTTGCTTTAAAACAAGTGGCATTGAATTGATTTTATAGGATGGACACATCACGTTCACTCAGGTAGTTCATCACACAAACTATGAATGTAATGATTCACAACCACAAAGTTTCACAATGCTGTTTCACAATCCACAATTTTGTTCTTTAAAATAAACCCACCTTGGTTTGATATTTTGTAAACCTATACAATGATTTAATGATTCTAGTACATTTTTA